CATACTCATGCCTCCTGTGAGAAACATAAGCATGAAAATGCAAAGTCCCAATTACATAAAAAAAGGATCTCATGGTTTCGGTTACCCACCAACCAGCGTGGCTTTGCCAGCATTCATCCTCACTGTGACCCTGTCAAGACAGTGGGAGAGCGGCTTTGCCAACACTTTTTCTCACTGTGACCCTGTCAAGACAGTGAGTGGGGGATCGCCTTCACCAACAGCTGACCAAGCAGGCAGGCCTCAGCTGTCCTCCAACAGGGACAGGGTGAGGTGCTCGCATTCTCCTCGAAGCCGCCACTGCCCAAGGCAGCTGCTCTGTCTGGCTAGCTGGGGCCAACCTGAGGCCATTAGCTGCCAGTGACAGCTCTTCCTCCATTTTTGTTCTAAATGTTCCCATGTCCTCACCTTAGGATAATCCAGAAATATTTTTACAGCACGCCCCCTTGGGAGGCAGGAAGCAGAGTCCTCCCCACTTCCTTCAGTGTCTGCTCTTGACCTTGGTCACCCAGATAGCAAATGTCCCAGCAACCCTGCCCCACCAGAGGAAGAACAGATAGCTTCAAACCAACTGCTCCTTACAGGCTGCCCAAGGTTCTGGGCTCATGCAAATACATGTGGATAAGGGCTACGATCTTCCTTTTCATCCGAGAGGGGTGTCATAGGCACGTAATGAAGCAAAGGCCAAATACATGAAGAATACATAAACTCGTCCTCTATGCCGGCTAGCGATTCTGCAGAAACCTCTTCTCTCCTTAGTGTGGTTTAACAGCAGAACCAGGAGCGGGGACCGGGAGGGACTAAGGGCCATCGCAGACTAACCCTCCCAGCCGACAGGAACCCCAGCCACACCCACACGGGGGAGGGGTTTTATTTCATACATGTTTTATTTCATGTATGTGGCCTTTGCTTCCTAGCACTGATGCTGGGGGAGCAAAATGCACACACTGATGCGTTAAAGAAGTACAAGTCAGAACTCTAAACTTTTATTAATTCCAGTTGAAGGGAGATCAGTCACATAGAGGAAGGGAAGGGGGTTGGAGGGGAGGGAAAGGGGGAAATACTGGGAATGACACTGGCCAAATTATATTGTTACTTTGTGTGCACGGACGAATATGTAACAAGAAATCCCACCATTATGTTCAACTGTAAAGGCCACCAAAAAACAAAACAAAACAAAAAAAAACTTTTTTAGTTTCTGAATTTTGGGGCTAATATTTGTGCTTTAAAAAACGGTATGATCTTTCTTCTCCAGAATCAAACACAGGTGAGGAGGTCTCTGGAGTTGTGGAAATGAGCGCTACCGAAGCCCAGGTCCCGACGCGGCAATGACTTAAGGTCACCACATTCCCCGGGCCTCAGCGAGTCGGCTGGCGGTAATCAGCGCGCTCTCTCCAGCACGTGGACCAGCACAAGGCGGCCGTGCAGCCCCACGGACACCTACCCCATCCCAGGAAGCCGGGGAGGGCTGCGGAGCGGCGCCGGCGGGCACGGCATGTGACTGCGTGAAGCCCCTGGTCCAGCGGCCCAGCAACCACCCACCTAGGAGTCGCACGAGCCCCTGTCATCCAAGCACCTTTTGTTCCTGTCTGCGCTCCACCACGTCACCGCGTGGAGCCCGGGGAGCTGCGGGACGCGGGACACCAGGCCGGTCGCGCGCGCCCCCCGCCGTCCCAGCGGGCGCCCGTCCCCGAACGGGTGGGGGCCCCCGGGGCGGGGCCTCGGACTCCCGCGCCCCGATTGGCCGCCGAGGCCCCGTGACGCCGCCCCGCCCCTCGCGTCCACGGGCCGCGGGCGGGCGTGAATGGGCGCGCGGCGCCGGGGCGGGCGGGGGCGCGGGGCCGGGGCTGGCGGCCGGCCGGCGCCCGCTCCTTAGGATGCGCGCAAGGCGGCCGGAGGCGGAGCGGCGTCCCCTGCAGCCGCGGGCCCCGGCGGCGGCACCTGCTGGCCAAGGTACTTGCCCCGCGCTCCCGGCACAGCGGGCCGGGCCGGGCCGGGCCGGGTCGGTGGGGGGCGGCCTTCTGCCTCGCGCGGCTGGCCGACGGCTCCTCCCAGCCCGCGGGCGGCGTCGGCTCCGCGCCGCGGACTAGCCTGGCGGGGGCCGCGGGCTAGCCTGGCGGGGGCCGCGGGCGGGGGTCGTGGCCCGGGCGGCGTAGACCCGGCCGCCGCTCAGGTGTGGATGCGGCGGAGGCAGAGGCCGGCGGCAGGTCCGGTCCAGCCGCGGTGGCCTTTCGCCGCCGCTCTCCGCAGCGGCTCTGGATAATTCATTGCTGGAAGCTTCCGAGCTGGCGGAGCCGAGTTAACTCGCTCCCCAGAGGGTGCGGGGCCCTCTGCGGGGCCACCGCAGCCCCGAAGCCGCCTGCTGCCTGGTCCGGTAGGCGCGACGCGTGGGTCCACGGTGCGGGTCCGCTGCTGGCCCTCCCCGCCCCCTCTGCGGACAGCCCTGTGGAGGAGGCACGATTTGGCGACCTTTTGGGTTCTGGGAGCCCTGAGCTGTGGCTTGACACGGGCATGCCTTCGTTGTGCGCCTTCTGCAAGGATTTCGGGAGTGTCTCCCGGATCTCAGCGATGGACAGGAGGGTTCCTGCCCCTACCCACGCTGCTGGTGACCTTGGCGCCTCCCTCCTCCCCGGTGCGGCTGGGGTTCCTGTCAGCTGGGAGGCTTAGTCTGCGGTGGCCGATATCCCTCCCAGGCCCGGCTCCTGGTTCTGCTGTTAAACCACACTAAGGAATGAAGAGGTCTCTGCAGACTAGAGGATGAGTGTGTTTGTATTCTTCTGTTTACTTCATGTATGTGGCCTTTGCTTCATTATGTGTCTTTCATTTAAAAGGGAAAACGGTTTTGTGTGCTGCATGTAGCACCCATGGGTTGCCTGCCCCTGGTGGCAAGGGCTGGGCTGGGCTGGGGTCACAAAGAGAAAGGAGACTCATTTCCTGTCCCCTGGTGTTTAGCAGAGCCCTCCCCTTGGCTTAGGACCCTTAAGCCTCTTGAGCGGAAGAAAACCATTCTGAAACTGGGAAGAGGGATCCTTTTCTCCTGAGTAAAGGGCATGAGCTCCCACACAGGAAAGGTAGGGTTTCCCAGGGTAACTGAAGGCCCAGGCTCAGAGGGGCTCCAACAATCCAAGTAGCCACAAGGAATCACCTGACTTCCAGCCTTTGTTTGGATAGGAGAGATGGCAGTGAACCCGAGGCTTAGTGCTCAGAATGTCCTGTCTTTTCACACATGTGTCCAGCATGTGGGTGCTGCTGTTTGTGTAGGATGAGATGACCCTTGCAGCCGTGGTGATGTGTGGCATTCTTTCTCTGGGCAACAAAAGGAATGGGTTTGTTGAGAAGGCACAAGGGTTCTGTGGAACAGAGGGGACTGGCCTGACTCAACTCTGAAAGCTCACATTTGTGGAAGATTCTTACAATTTGGGCACACATTGCAGATGGTCCATGTAATCAAAGTAGATGGTGTGGTAAACATTAAGGGTGCATTCAAGGCAGACTGAGGACAAACCTGTTCTTCCGTTAGCCCCCCCCCCCCACTCTTCTGGCTTCCCACATGGGCTCTTCCTAGTGGGGAGGGAGGCTGGCAGTGAGTAGCAGATAGAAGAGGATCTTCCCCTTCAGGCTAGCTGCCTGTGGAGACGGGAGGGTTGAGATCACCCAGAGGGCAGGCTCTGTGTCTATAGTCTAGCTAGGACGCTTTGGCAGGAATAAAACAACTGGGAATTGGCACGTGTTAATAATAATGCAAACACTCTAAGAGCTGAGGAAGGGGAGGCCGGGTCTGGATCAGCATGAGTGGCATAAGGTAGCCCAGGCATCCCCGGGAAGAGTGGTGAATCTCAGGCCTGGGTGGAAGGAAGCCATAAATACAGATGGTGGCACAGGCCCTCCCAGGAGAGAGACCACGCTGAAGCACACGTGTGGGGGGGGGAGAGGATGAACAAGGGGCAAGAAGACACTGCACGCCTGTCCTACCCTGACTCCAGACTGGGGAACTGTTTTATGTTTTTTTAGGTATAGCATAGATACCAGAAAGATAGACATATCCTAGCGTACTGCCCCGCGGGTTTTCCATGCTGAACCCACCCATGCAGTCACATTCAGATCCAGGACCCTGGTATCTATCTCCCTGTTCTCCCTCTAGCCATTGCCCCCTGCCCTGGGTCTACCCCATCTACCTGCCTTCCCCAAGTGTCATGTGACTAGAATCCTGCAGGTCTGTGTGTGAGTACCAGCCGTCTGAGAGCCCCTCCTGGTGCCATTGTGGCTGTGGCATGTCCACACTCATTTCGATGGAGGCTGATGGTGAACACTTAGGTTCCCACACATGGTCTTGAGCTTTGGACCCTTCCAGCATCTGACTGTTGGTGCTGCAGCTGTGGCCGCTCGAGTGTCTGGCTTTGGTGATGCGCACTTCCAGTGGGTCCGTGCTGAGGAGTGGGATTACTGGGTCCTGGGCATGTATTGCTCCTTCTGGGGACTTCAGGCAAAGCTGTCACCCAGTCCTGGGGTAGCCACATTGGTAGGTGCTCACTACCAGACGGAGCAGCAGTCTCCAGGGACTGAGGCAGGATCTCCCAGCAGTCTGGTAAGGTCCGGGAGAGGCAGTCCCTCCAGCTGCAGGCTGCTCTCAGGTGGACAGCAGGCTAGCTGCACGGGGGGGGGGGGCTCTGGCCCTGATACCCCCTGGCATGAGGGAAGAATTTCTGCTGCCCTTCGCCTTACTCCTGGAAGCTCCTGCCCCTCTTGTGCAACAGACCATACCCTGGAGCTGGTGACACGGTGGTACTAGGTGCCTTGTCAACTTGCTGTGTCCACCGACCCCTGCGCTCTGCTCAAGAATTCCCCTGACCTAGAAGGAGAGCCACTTCTTATTTGGGCTTTTGAGCCACACAAGACCCTTCTGTTCTGTGACAGCATGGAGAGACATCCAGGAGCCAGTGGTGAGATGGCCACCAGCTCTTGGACCCATGAAGTCACCATTTTCTTTCAGTTTTATTTTTTTTTTTCTTTTTCTTTTTGGTGGTGCTGGGGATTGAACCCAGGGCCTTGTGCATGCAAGGCAAGCACTCTACCAACTGAGCTATAGCCCCAACCCCTTCCTTCAGTTTTAAACGTCTGGAATTATAACAATTAAATATCATGTGATAGAATTTGGTAGGCTTGATAAAAATAGCCAATTAACTTTAAAAGGCCTACCCTGGTGGGGTGTGCTTACGTCTTTGAACGCTAGGCTGTTTCTAAGACTGTTATCTTCATGATGACAGGCTTGTCGCCACCCGGGCAGAGACGTGTTTTCTTTTAAACCCGGAGAGTTTGTTTTTTTTTTCTTCTCCTGGGCCTTAGCGTTGCCTCCCTCTTGAGTTCTGTTCTTCGCCCTCTTTCAGTTTTTCACAAACATCTTGTTCTCCTTTCTTATCTGGATGTGAGCAACAAGAACGTCAGGAGGCCAGTGTGGCCTCCGATACTCTTCTTGGCTTGTCATTTTCTGAGTTCAGATTCTTGGTCACCAGGGCTTAGTGGCTGGTGTGGGTTTCTTGCTTGTCCTTCCACTAGGTCAGTGCCATGCGATGGACATACCATCTGAGCTCACCTGCAGTGTTAAGAAAGAAAGCGCAGATCCAAGCCTGAATGTTCCAGGAAGATGCAGGCTCCTGGGCGCTCAGCCCTGCTGCTGCGCAAGGTATCGAGTCCATTATTGATGAGCTACTTTGTATTCTTCTGTATTCTTCAGACTAAGTCTTCACAGACTTCTCCTGCAGACCAACCTGGCTGGCACAGGACAGGCAGGGCAGGAGACCTGGCTGGGCAGTTTTACCGTGGCCTGTTGTGGATGTGTTGGCACCAGCTCACTCACTCCTCAGCACAGCCCTGAGCTTGGTACCATTGCTGCCCCCCTAGTGGGGCAGGGGGTGAGTCAGAGAGGGCCAGGAGCTTGGAAACAGTGAAGGCAGCATGGCCTTCAGGCCTGGAGATGGCCAGGCGACTGGGCCGTGTCTGTGCAGTTGGTCCCACCACTCACCTCGGTGAGTCCCAATGCCTGGTATGTGGCGGGGAGGGCCCTGTCCTGTCTAGGGATGAGGGCTGGGCACCACTTGCCGCCCCTGCATGGCAGCCTCCTCCCAGTCCAGCCCCTCAGGAGGACTTCCTACTTTAGTCCAGCCTGAGGTGGTCTCTCCAAACCCCAGGTCCAAGTCACAAACCCTGTACTGCTCCTGTTGCTTTTTGGGTCAAATCCCAGCCCGTGGTGAGCATTGCCTGCTTTTCCAGCGTCCTCCCAGCATCTCGTGCCCTCCTGGCTGGTCCCTTCTAGAGCTCTGCGCTCAGACTTCTCCCCGTGCGCCTGCTGTCCCTCCCTGTGCCAGTGACGCCTGCCTCCTCCTCCTCCCAGATTCCCACTCAGACCACGGCAGACTTCCTTCCCCAGGGGAGCCTCTTCTAGGACACGCCCTCCCCAAACCTCTAAAGTGTGACACTTGGGTGCTTGTTCTGTCCAACGTGGAATGAGAAGAAAAACTGTGGCTGGGCACAGAGGTGGCACCTGTCGCCCACCTCTGAGGAGGCTGAGCCGGAGGATGGAGCTCAGAGCCCTGAGCTTGAGGCCAGCCTGGGCAGCACAGTCAAGCCTGTCTCAGAAAAGAGAGTTACACTCTGACACACTGACAGGTCCCGTCCTGCCCTTAGAGGGGGACCCTAGGAGCGTTGGACCCTAGGAGGAGGGGCTGTGGCTGCTGCTCATCACACCCTCTCCGTCGGGAGCCTGCCAGATGCTGAGTTCCCGCACGTGTGGAGCCAAGTAGAAGGGCAGTGTGACTAGTGTGAGAGGAAGGCACTGGCTGTGGTCACTCCTCCCACAGGCCCAGGAGCATGTCAACTTTGTGTGTTTGTGTGGGAAAGGCATCTTCTCTGTCTCCCTCTCCTTCAGCCCCCAAGCGGCCAGCTGCTGCCCACCCCCTTGTTCTGGTCACCTTCCTTCTGTGGTTGCTTTCTTACTTGGGTCCTTGTCTGCCTCCTCTGGGTCTTTCACTCATTCCCACAGGACAGGAGGACCTCTGAATGCTATGGTCATTGCCAGGCTGCCTCCCACCCCAACCCCTGCCCCCAGCCAGCTGCTCCCCGAGGACTGATTCTGAGGCCCACTGGAAGCGTCACTGCCAGACGCCAGCACCTTGTGGCCGTGGCCTCGCCCTCTTCTGGCATGTGGCATCCCAGTCACTGTGATTTCCTACAGATGACTCCTGCCGTCCTGTCTCGAGTGCCCACTGGACTGTGGCTGAGGCAGCCTTAAAGCCGGAGCCCTTCCTGCGGGTCATGCTGTCACTCTGTGGACTGCCCATCCTCCTGAGGTCCTCTCTCTCCCTTCAGGTCCTGACTGTTCAGCCAGAGACTTGTCCCCTGCAGATTAAGAGGGAAGCCTTGTGCTGAAAAGTCAGCTGGTGCCTGGCTTGTTGGGGGCCTTGTGGGGCTGCGGTGACTTGTTCTTCTGCATCAGGTGGCCATGGCATTGTGCTGTGCCATCACAGCCCCCACGGGCAGCTCTTTCATAAGGCACTGGTTAAGGCTACGGGGACCCCAGGGTGGGAAATCCTGTGGGCAGCTCCCTCCGACCCCTGGTGCCCTGTCCTGCTCCTCTGGCCTCTTTCTGCCTGAGGGCTGCGTAAGCAGCTCTGCCACGAGCACTCCCGAGCCTTCTTCTTGCCTCTTAAAACGTTTCCCTTTGTGACCTGAACTTGCTCTGTGGCAGACCTTGGCTGCACTGGTGCTGAGAGCAGCCCCCAGGCCAGCATCTTCCT